ATTGAGTCAAACCCTTCTATCCCTCTATTTTGTTTGTGTGAGTCTTGTCTGTCCGTTTTATTGCTATTTTCATTACCCGGGTTATTTTAGGGTTGTAACTCGGATTATAGGTTATTTGCCTTGTTGTTTACTCAATGAAATACAGTTTGTCTTTTTGTGTCATTCCATGCTTAATTCTTTTTCCGCTAGTTTTAGTGATATGACATGCATGTGGAATTTTTGGCCAGATCTTAGAAAACCGATTTAAGCTTGAATTGGATAAATGAGAAAAAAATAACTTTTGAGGATGAATAAAGAGTTGAAATACTTTGGAATTAAGCTCGAATAAAAATGACCCGAGGAGGTTAATGATCTTTACCTTCAAATCATTGTGAAGGTCGGGTTTAAGGAAGAATCAATTGAAGTTTATTGGAAAGTTTGACATTAATGGGTGAAAAGTGTCTTCCGACCATGACACACCAAGAAGACAGACATGTTCATCAATGCTATGTCGCGAAAGGAAACCATGATTGGCATTCTAGAGGCTAGGAGGCCCTTGTTCTACTACCCAAACTCTTTATACCCTTTGTTACACCTTTTGAGCCTGTGTTATTTTCTTTGATCGCCCTCTTTTGGAATCAAGTTTAGAGTCAAAAGTCAAAAATAAAAAATGAAAAGAAAAGTCCATGCTCCCAAAGTACAAACTGGAAAAACTCTTAGAAAGTTCAAGTGAAAAAAAAAAGAAAAAAGAACATTCGAAGGTCCATGCCCCTAGAAAATAGAAGCCGGGGCAGTTTGTTTTGAAAACCAAAAAAAAAAGAGAAGAAAGAAGGAAAAATGAGAAAAAAAGAAAGAAAAAGAAAAAGAAAAAGAAAGAAAGATGAAAAAAAAAAAGTTAGTTCAGAGGTTTGAACTACGTTTGACATGATTCCTTTTAAAAAAAAGGATACGTAGGAAGCCTTAGACGGTTCAGTCCAGCTAAATAAGAAGAAAAAAAATTCCAAAAATCCCCAGTATCTGAAACTGGGGCAAAGAATTTATTTCAATTTTGAAAGAGTCGATTCCATGTGTTGTAAGTCTACAACCCCCTCATTTTGAGTCTACTTTGAGCCTTATGTCGTCCCTTCTTTCCAACCCTATCCAAAAACCTTCTAAATAAAGACCTCCTAATCAGCCTTCAAGAATGCCAAGAGACGCATACAATGAGCAACAGTTGTCACACGACATAGAACACTGTCAAGTTGCTCACACAAGAAAGCAAAAGAAAAAGGAAAATAAAAGAAAAATGAGAGAGTCTTACTAGTGAAAACCTTCACGGGAACTGTAAGGCGACGGTAAGAAGAGATAAATAAATGAGAGAGACTTGCTGGTGAAAATCCCTCGGGGCACCACTAGTCGAGAGTTAGTTGTGAAGCTGATGCAAGAAATTGGCATGAACTAAACAAACCCGGCTTTAGAGGTCATAAGAATGTAAAAAGAAAGATTGAATTAGTTTGATAAATTAGGCCATTGAGTCCAAAATGCATCTCATGATCATTGAGGCTAGTTACCAAAAAAAAAAGAAAAAAAAAGAAAAGAAAAAAAGGGGTAAACTCTTCCCTATTTCCTTCTCGACAAGGGCATTTCTTGTTAATATTGTTTCTTTGCATCATTTTGTCCTTCACTCTGAGTCACTCCTTGTCAAAACAAGCAAGAAAAGATTTCAAAATCTGCTACTAGCTTTTCAGTTGCACAAAGTTAATTTGGCCAGCACAGTTAGGTGTTACAGTCAACATGCCTTGAGGATTCATGCAAAGGCTTCCCCCCAAAATACCCTTATCAGCCTACTTGGCTAAAGCAAGAAAAGATAACCTCGAGGTTAATCAGGGGCTCAGGCTCTCTGTAGTAATGAACAAGGACTACAAAGTGTGCACATCGTGCAAAAGGCCTTTACAAGTTGTGATTTTCTCTGACAGACAAATTGCTCCAAAAGCAAAAGCCATTCAAGATATCAGAAAAGGTTATCTAAGAAAATAACTCTTTTTTTTGAGACAAGGCTGATTGAGCCACAAAACACAAATGGCACTGGGAGCGAAATAATCATGGTTCATATAGAAAGTAAAGGTCTCTTGAAAGCAACAACAGAGTCTCCCAGCAGTGCAACAAACTACCAATACAGTCGGTCTTCCAAAGGCTGGATGATCACAAAGCCAAGCTGCCCAAGACTCAAGGCCATAAACCGACCACCACTTTTAAAACTGACAAAATTTCTTTTGTTTGAAACAGGAACAAAGCAGTGCAAGGAAGTTGGTTCAAAAACAAAAAAAAAAAAAGAAAAAGAAGAAAAGAAAGAAAAATAAAAAAAAGAAGAGAAGAGCCGACAAAGGAAAGTTTCTCAAATCTTTGCCTTTATCTGTCTTGCTAGTGTGCATAAAATGTTGCCATTGCTCTTCACATTTTTCCTCCTAGGATAATAAGTCCTAGTCTGATGGATCTTCTCCTAATCAAAATCTTAGTCTGATGAATCTTTCTCCTAAGATAGAAGACCTAGTTTGATGAATTTTCTCCTAGGATCGAAATCTTAGTCTAATGAATCTTTATCCTAAGATAGAAGACCTAGTCTGATGAACTTTCTCCTAGGATCAAAATCTTAGTCTGATGAATCTTTCTCCTAAGATAGAAAACCTAGTCTGATGAATTTTCTCCTAGGATCAAAATCTTAGTCTGATGAATCTTTCTCCTAAGATAGAAAACCTAGTCTGATGAATTTTCTCCTAGGATAAACGTCTTAGTCTGATGAATCTTTCTCCTAAGATAACCAAAAAAAAAGACCTAGTCTGATGAACTTTCTCCTAGGATCAAAATCTTAGTCTGATGAATCTTTCTCCTAAGATAGAAAACCTAGTCTGATGAATTTTCTCCTAGGATCAAAATCTTAGTCTGATGAATTTTCTCCTAGGATCAAAATCTTAGTCTGATGAATTTTCTCCTAAGATCGAAATCTTACTCTGATGAATCTTTCTCCTAAGATAATAAAAAAGAGACTTAGTTTGATGAATTTTCTCATAGGATCAAAATCTTAGTCTGATGAATCTTTCTCTTAAGATAGAAGACCTAGTCTGATGAACTTTCTCCTAGGATAGAAATCTTAGTCTGATGAATCTTTCTCCTAAGATACCAAAAAAAAAGAAAAGAGACCTACTCTGATGAATTTTCTCCTAAGATAGAAGACCTAGTCTGTGAACTTTCTCCTAGGATCAAAATCTTAGTCTGATGAATCTTTCTCCTAATATACCATAAAAAAAGACCTAGTCTGATGAACTTTCTCCTAGGATCAAAATCTTAGTCTGATGAATCTTTCTCCTAAGATACCATAAAAAAAAGACCTAGTCTGATGAATTTTCTCCTACGATAATAAGTTTAAAAAACGGGAAGTCTGGATTAAAAAAAAGGTCAATTTTTAGTTTTCTAAGTTATCAATCTTTAGTTTTCTTGAAATCAGAGGTCCCGCCTGGAGAATAGGGTTAGTTTTTAGTTTAGTCAAGCTTAGTTTATAGTTTTCTGCAAGCTCAATCTCAAATTTAGGAGACACACTTCCTAGTTTGGGTTTTTCAGATTTTTATTTCTTTAGGAGACACATATCCTAGTCGAGTCTTTAATTTTACTCTCATCATTGCATCATTCATCAATAGCATAGGTGATTTATAGTTCTGCTAACAACTCACAAATCTTCCTAGTGCAAACTGGGGCAGAAAAGTTTTTTTTGTTTTGTCTATTTTGTTGTAGTATCAGGCGCCCACCTGGAGAATGAGGGAATTCATTTCAGGTTTTAAATCAGCATTAGGCTCCCACCTGGAGAATGAGGGAATTCATTTCAAGTGTTAAGTCAACATCAGGCACCCACCTGGAAAACGAGGGAATTCATTTTAAGTTTTTAAGTCAGCAGGCCCCCACTTGGAAAACAAGGGAATTCATTTCAAGTTTTAAGGCATCAAGCGCGCACCTGGAGAACGAGGGAATTTCTTTCAAGTTTTAAGTCAGCATCAGGTGCCCACCTGGATAATGAGGGAATTTGTTTCAATTTTCAAGTCATTAGCAGGCGCCCACCTGGAGAACGAGGGAATTCATTCAAATTTTCAAGTCAGTTGCTGGCGCCCACCTGAAGAACGAGGGTAGTCCGAGATGACAAAGGAAGAAGTCTCAATCCAGAATAAAAGAAAAAAAAAAGAAGAGAAGTGAATCCAAAATGCAGAAGCCGATGAAAGATGTGAACTGCTCAAGACATGGCTGAAGTTACAAGCTTTGCATGTCCCGTCTTGATCCGAAAAGTTGAAGAAGAAAGAACTAGCACCTGCAGCTAGCAAGCATCAAGGTTCAAATCAAAAGTCCGCATGAAGAACCATTCAAGACTCAAGATCAAGCTTTAGAAGACTCATAGATAGGAATCTTGTAACTCGTAGCTGATAGGCTTAGTTAGTTTCTTTTTCATTTTGACTTTGGTGTAATAGGGTGCTCAGCAAGAAGTAAATAGCAGTAACAACAGTGAAATCACATCTTCTCGGTAGTCCCAGCTACCTAAACTTCTAGAACTACACTGACCTGATTCCTTTATAGCCAAAGATATGTAGGCAACCTCCGAAGCAAAGTTCGGTCAAACTTTTCAAAAAATGCTTCCCATGGAGTATCCAAATGGGCAAAAATTGCTTGTAATTGCTCACTTTATCTTAGTCCGAAAACTTTTCATGTTTCCGAGCAAAGAGGGGCAGCTGTGAACACCTAATTTTTGCCCTAATATAAAATTACTCCTAAAAAATCCAAAAAATAGCTTTAAATTATTTTTCTATATTTTTAGTTAGTTTGCTTTGTACGTATTCATGTTTGATGCATTTTTAAGTTGCATTTTATATCCTAAAGAAAATACAAATTTTTTTTTAATTTTTACATTTTTAGATTTTAATTGCATAATTAATTGCATTTGTAAAACACTAAAATATCAAAAAATACATTAGTAACTCTACATGCATTTGTTAGTTAAATGAATTAGTTAATTATAGAAAAATAGGTCATTAGGTTAATTTTACAAATTAGTTGGAATTAGGAGTGTTAAATAAATTGATTAGTCTTGAAAAATACAAAAAAAGAAAAGAGAAGGCTATGGGGTCTCATTACAGCTTTGGGCCAGGTTTCTAGTGGCCCATTTTCCTTCCATTCGCCCCAGCCCACTACCCGCCGGCCCAATATCCCCCTTCATCTCTAAAATAGACCCTAATTTCACCCTCCCCTTTGGATTCAGAAGATCAGAGATATCGGCAGACCCCCCTCTTTGATTCCCATTTTTTGAGAATGGAGCCTCACTCTCAAAAAACAAAGAACATACACACATTCAGTCAATTATTCATCAGCGAAAACACACGCATACCCAGGAGCAGCAAAGACTCTAGAACGCAAGTATTCCAGATCTGAAAATTTTTCAAAGAGTGTTCCGAATTTCCAATGAGCTGATTTCGCTGTTGTTTACTCTGCTGTCCAGTAGCTGAATTCCAACATCACGTCTGGTTTTCAGCCTTTATTTGGCTTTCGATTTTTGTTTGCTATTCAGGTATGAATTTCGATCCAAAAAATACTGTAAGTTTTGTTTAGATGCTATATTGCAATAAAACTGGCAGTGATTATTCCTTATACGTTTGAAAAAGTTCATCGCTGCTAATTGCAAATTTGAATTAATGTTGAAATACTCTGATGCATAAAGTTAGAATAAATCTGTCTGCAAAAAAATCATTTGTTAAATCACTGTTAAGCCTTCACTTGTAAGACAACTGATTTGCGCTCAAGTGTGTTGAAATTCAGATATTTTTGTTCATTTAAAACTGGAACTGAAATTGAATTTCTCAGGTTAAATTAAAATTAGAAAAGTCTTCAACATCAAACCATGAGTCCAATTTATATTAAATAACGTGAAGGTGGCCATTTGTGTAACAGTTAGTTCCAGTTGAGTAATGTTCTACCTTAGAATTTGAGTATCTTCGAATAGTTCTCCATATAGTCTGTTTCTTTCGTGTTTATATGGTTATGTTTTAAGATCCTTATTTTGTTATAAGATTTTATTAGTTTCATTCTTAAATTTGAAACCGAAGCTGGGTGAGAGTTGCCATGAATTTGTTAAGTTGATTAGAGTTGCTTTATTAACTAGTAGGCTATTTGGTTAGTATTTACGTTGACTGGGCCATCTGTTAGTCTTAGGGAATCAGAAAATTAAATTGGGATTATAATAGCACAGGTTGTTAGTTTGATCCCATTTCATAAATGAATTGATGAGGCAAATAAGTCATATGCCAGGCCCACTTCGTGATAATATGCGACTGGCTTATCCCTTCTTTAGTAACAAGCATACTTTTCCATATTTAATCCACGTGATGTTTCTCCAACAATCATTCCATAACTCTTGGATCTTCACGCTTGATCTCAAATGTAGCAATTAATCATGAACATCGTAGCTTGCTTTAGACGCGAATAATAAATCATCGTGGCCATGGGTACGGTTCCCGTGGCATGGTCACGATACGTAAATCCCAATTCGAGTGTGCGTTTTACGTGACTCGACCAGAACTTCAAACAATAATAAAAATATGCATGTCGTAAATCGCGGGTGCATTTCATGTGGCGCGGTTTGCGACGTGTACCAAAAACACAAGTGCATGACATCGTGACTTGTTCCAGAAATAATTCCATAAATAATTAAAAGCGATTAAAAAGTAAAAATGCACAATAGACTTTAAATATGTAATAAATCAGATAATTAGGCCAAGTATTAATTGTTAAGCGACCGTACTAAAATCACGAAACTCGGGAGTGCCTCACACCTTCTCCCGGGTTAATAGAATTTCTTACCCAGTCTTCTGTGTTTGCGGACCATAAAATAGAGTCAATTTCCTCGATTTGGGATTTAAAATAAACCGGTGACTTGGGACACCATAACAACTATTCCAAGTGGCGACTCTGATAAATAAATAATCCAATTTCGATAAGTGAGGGATCTATTGCTATGGGTATTTGTACAATGCCTGTGTATGAGGACTTGAGCCTACAGATTGAAAGGGTTTGTGAAAAGTCTCCAGGGTAAGTCTGTTAACCAAGAATTATTGTTTAAATCGGCCTTGATCAAACCAAGTCCTCCTTGTTCCTTTGGAGTAGTTATTATGTCCCAAATGACCATGTGAAGCTTAGTTTTCTTATCATTAGAACCCCAAAGAAAGTCACGTTGTATTTTGTCAATAGAGTTGGTGATTTTCCGAGGGAGTTTTATGTATTGCATCACATGATTTGGGATGGTATTGAGAGTGGATCTTATAAGAGTGGTTCTACCTGTAATATTTAAAAAGTTTATTTTCTAACCTACAAGTCTAGACTTCATATTATCCAGCACAAATTGAAAATCAGAATTTTTTGACCTTTTATAAAATATTGAAAATCCAAGATACTTTCCAAAAGTCGTACCTTCCTTAATATTAAGAATATTACAAATGTCTTGCTTGAGGTTAATGGTACCATTTTTGAAAAAAATAATCTTAGGTTTAGCATAATTAATATTTTTCCTAGAAAAGCTACAAAAGGCATGCATAATCTTCTTAATCGAATTACTAGTCTTTATGGAATCTTGAGCCATGAAAGTGAGATCATCAGCATAAAAAATATGTGATAAACGAGGTGCTGCTCTACCTATTTTAATGGGGATTCAATGCTTCGTTTCCACTATATTTACCCAAAAACGGATGGAGTGAAATTTATACGTAGTTCTAAGATACGTGGTACAACTTGGCACAAATCAGAAAGTAAGTAAAAATATACTGGGTATTGACTGTATAAAGAATGAAATACAAATCAAACTGAGTGAAAAATATTTTGTGAACAAGCAAGATGAATCATTATACTAAGCCCAAAAAGGGATAATCTCTATATGAATATTAGTATGTTTTTCTCTGTGAATATCAATAATATAAGAGTGTATGAATGACATGATATCTGATTCCCCATAGAAATAATAACTATCCCTCTTATAGTGGAGAGATACTACTTAAGATATAATTAAAAATACATAGTGGGAATCCCATGATAGATTAGTTTTTTCATAATTCCCGCCGAGATTCTCTCCCTTAGTGCGGCTGTAATGACTCTTGTCTCTTGGCTCGATCTTGATCGGACTTGGTGTTGGTCGATTTCCAGGTTTAGAGCTCGATATTGGTTCGGGGCCCGAAATTGATTTTGGCTCGGTATTAGTCGGTCTCTGGCTCTTAAGCTTGATAACACCGCCTCACATCATAGTTCGATTTGGAATCGAGCTCGGTACTTAATTGGTCCCCGAAACTTGAGCTTGGTAACCTGGCTTCAGATCTCATTTCGATATTATGAAGACGACTTTCGGTCCATTACGTTCCAATCTTGAGTAATCATTCGAAGGTCGAAAACCGATTTTGACCGTATACAGATAATTCCCTTATTTCTCGGAAAGAATATGGCGAGAAATGACATGATTTTCCAACGGCATGACTAGATATACACTGACGTTTGCATCGAACCCGACCATGATGTACGTGATAGCTGTCCCGTTGGTCCAGTTATCAAGGCATTAAATGTGTGTTAGACGATGGTCGACCGTTGCTAATATTGAACCGTCATTACCAGTTCTATAAATAGCTCATCTCTTTACCATTTTTTACTTTCAGATCCCAATCACCAAATCTACTAAGTTCTTATTGTATCTTCTGAGTTCTTTATCTGTAAATTTATGATTTTCACTGCAAAATCCCTCTTTAGAACACCAAATCTTGTCATCTTTTCTATCTTCAATCTTCAAATACCAATGGCGAAAACGTCAAAAACTATTTCTCAAAAAGAAAAAGCTTCTTCTTCGCGGCCCGCCGACGACAAAACACCGGTGGAGCCATGACCTGAGGAGTGTGTTCCCGGGGGGTCTGTCCTTATCTCCGATTTTAAGATTTACAAAGCTTCGCCGGTTTCCGGTCGATGCAATCTAGTATCGGGGTATATGTACTCGATAACCGAGGGCCATCTTAAACAGTTAAGGAAATATTGCAATTGGGAGGACAAAGAAGTGATAATCCCGACTCCCGAAGAAGATATTACTACCCATATGAAAGGGTTTTTAAGTGTGTATACTTACCCTTTCAAATCCATCCTTCTTTTTGGCGGATCGTTATTTTGATCTGCTTCTTTGTGAACAAAGTTGAGAGGATGCCTTTCACCCTCGACCACCTCATTAGGTTATACAGCCCCCGCCGCTATCAAGGTGGGTTAATAAAACTATAGCACCGGGCTACCAAAGTGATGTTCTCGAGCATAGACGAGGACAAGGACCGAGGCTGGATGGGAATGTTCATTCGAGTGAAGATTTCGGACCTAATCCCGGCCGGAAAAATGCCATTTTTCGAGGAATGGAAAATGAAGCGTAAGTATAATTCTACTGTTAGCTCCTATTGTTTTGCTCCTTTGTTTCTTACCGATATCCTTTTCTGTGGTGCTATTCCTAACCTTAAGAGCTTGGTACGGGACCTGGCTTCGACCTCCACATATGCCGAGCACTCGTGGCGTGACTTGTCAAAGGACCGATGGGAGGCTAAAAATTATGGTAATCCTCTTCCCCATGCCTTCGATGATTCGAATGAAATGACTTTCTTATACTTAACTGATTCTCTTATGTGTAGGTCTGGGCAAATATGCGGTCATGAGGCCCTCGTCTAGAAAGGAAGAGACTTCGGCCCGGTTCCAAAACTGGCGAAGGATAACAAAAGAAAAAGGGCCTCTACCTCCAAGCATCCAACACTTAAGACAAAGACGGCTTGTAAGCCGAGGAAGAACACCATCCCTTTGACCGAAGAGTCAGTTCGGCGTCTGAGGGATGAAGACGAAGAGGAAGAAGAAAATGACGGGTCCATATTGGTGGCCCGAGTGAAGAAAAGCGCCGAGGCTCCAAAGGCTACTGAATCGATGAAGACCGCAAAGATTCTATTTTGTGATGGGGGAGTCTTGGGAAGAGAATTGGTCGAAGTCCCTGAATCATCGAGGATTGAGGCTACCTTCCACCATAATGAGCCAATGGTGGGTACGACTGTGGGGGATGGTCACGAGGCCCCTCGAGATGGAGAGAATGCCCCAAGTGATTCACTTGGGGTAATAGAAATTCGAGGATCCCCGCTAGTCCCCTCATTTTCCGAGGAAATGATTCGAGAGGCTCGAGCCTTGAATACCCTTACGTTTCCAAATCCGAGAGAAATTCCTCCCACTCCATATCTTAAAGGCCTATTTAATGGGGTCCAGGTGAAAGTCCACAGAGTAATATTCTTTCCATTTCCAATCGTCCATGCGACCCCTTTATTGCAAACAGACCACCCTTTAAGAATATTATTCCAAATTATAGTTTTGGGATTTAATCGATAAGTGAGGGATCTATTGCTATGGGTATTTGTACAATGCCTGTGTATGAGGACTTGAGCCTACAGATTGAAAGGGTTTGTGAAAAGTCTCCAGGGTAAGTCTGTTAACCAAGAATTATTGTTTAAATCGGCCTTGATCAAACCAAGTCCT